CCCTTCGGGATGTACTTCCCTGCTACGGCGGTGTTGCGGACTGCTTCACGGATTGTTGTTGGGACCGTTGGGTACAGGCGAAGGACTTCTTGGCAGACTCCATTTAGTAAAGGGAGGGACTCGAGGTCTTGGTAGGTTATTTGGCTGTTGCCGGATGGGATCTTGGAGCGAATTTCATCGCGGAGGCGGGTTTGGTATTCTGGGTGGCGATGGAGCAGGTAGCAGGCCCAGGTTAAGGCGCTGGCGGTGGTTTCATGCTGTGAGGGTTAGCTAGTCGTTCAACTACCTATGCAGTTGCATTCGAATACTCACACCAGCAGCCAAAAATGTCAACATCTGATCCACCAACTCCGTATCTGAGAAATCCCCACCAAGCATCATCGTCCCCAGAATATCAGCCTCGAGGTCTTGAGCAGAAACTTTTGACCCGGCAAGACTGGCTCGCTTCTCGCGCACGATCTCATCGCATGTACTGCGCAGATACGCCGTCTCAGCATTCAGTACGTCGTTCATCCGCCACGGTACACGTCTCGCCATCCACTGCGGCAGTGCAAAATTCATCACCAGGAACGCCATTTTCTCCTTGGTCGGCTCGAGGATCTTCGCGAAGCTGTCTGCCACTTTGTTTCGTTTGTTATTTAACGAGCCAAAGTCACGCCCCATTGCTATAGGCCCGATTATGTCGAGTGTGAGACGGCTGCATACTGGTTAGTATACGGGAATCTAGTGTGATGTTTGCAACACATACCTCGCCCACTCGGCCATCTCAATCTTACCCTCCTGGTCCTCTGGACTCGTTCCATCCATTGGATGCACCTTGATTTCTTTCTCTAGTGCATCCAGTAACTGTCCTGTCTTGCTCCACATGAGCGAATACATCGAGCGGATATTCTTGATATTGAACGCAGGTGTGAGCGCTTTGCGCTGCTTCTTGTGGGCTGCGCCTTCCGAGGTAATCATTCCAAAGCCAATGATCCGCGCGAGAAAGTTGCGCATGCGCCATGGCTTCTCAAAGTCATATGTGTTTGTGCTCATCACATCTAACAGGGCTTGGTGATTGGTTGGAATCACATAGCTTTGATTGAATGTGTCGCGCATGTGGATAAGTCCTTCATTTGGGACGGTTTTCATCCATTGGAGGGGTTTTGTTCCTCGTGGTGAGTCGAAGATGAGTTCTATATGCGAGCCCTGTGAACGGTTAGTACTTGTACATTTTTTATTTTTCCTTTGTTCCTACCTGGACTTTTGGTAAATGCCGCATGGGGCTTAGTAGAAATGGCCATATTATTACGCCGTAGAAGGCTTTTAGAAGGATGTTTACTGCAAGTGCGACGAGACAGATTCTCTGGAAGGTATTGTCGTTGAAGACCATGCGTTGGAGGAAATACGCCTCGGCAAGGGTGAATGCGCCTAATGCCGGGATACTGTCACCAAGGGCCATGTTTGGTTTCTTTTGAATCGAGTTGAAAAGAGACAAAAGCCTCGGATTCAGTCGAGTCTCATATACACTCATTTTTCCCATCGGATATGCCCCACAAAGATCGGCACTCCCTGTTGGGGTGACCAATGCGAGACCTCGGCTCTATGAACTGCGAGTATTTCGATCTGCATGTTAGCGTTTAGATTGTGGGGAGAGTGACTATGTCTACAGCTGAAGCTAGGCTCCAGTACTCCGTAGTCTATTGAGAAAAGCCGAGTCTGACACTCAGAATTCATCTGCCTACATATGTAGACTTGGATATTTAGATAGAAGACACGGAGTCATTAGGGCTAGAATAATGCGGGGATGCCAAGAGACATGTGAAAAGAGTCGAAAGACATTCAGAATTCAAAAGAATTCAAAGAGATTCAAGCTCTAAGTCATAATTGTCGATCTCTTGTCGATCGTTGTATCTCGCATTGATTTCCTTGGTGGGAAACATTGAAGATGTGAAGCCTCGGCTAGATTAATATGCTAAATGTACTATCCTTAATAGCCTTATTATCCATGTTATCCTTAATATAATCCGATCATTTACCTTCCAATATCAAAACCTCACTTCATACAAACAGCAATAATGCCGACTCTCGACCTCATCACCAAATACGCTGAAACAGCTCTATCCCACCTCCCAGAGCCCACCCAACATCTCTTCCGTAACTCAACAGCCCAAAAGGCCCTTGGTGTTATCGCCGGTCTCGCCCTTCTCCGCGCCACAAATCGCTTCTTTTCAAAGCGCACTCTGCAAAACTGGACCTCCAACCAACCATGGATTCCAGCCCGCGAGCTCATCTTGCTTACCGGCGGCTGCAGCGGAATCGGCAAACAGGTCATGGAAGACCTGGCGCGCACAGGCGTGCGCGTAGTCATCCTCGATATCAATGAGCCGACTTTCACACTACCCGCCAATGTCACCTTCTACAAGGCGAATATCACTTCCTCGGCTGATATCGCCGATGTTGCGTGCACGATCCGTGACAACCACGGCGAGCCCACGGTATTGATTAATAACGCGGGCGTAGGACACGACGGGACCATCCTTGAGGAGCCCGAGGAGAAGATTCGTCAGACTTTCGAGGTTAATACCCTCTCCCATTTCCTGATGGTTAAGGAATTCTTGCCGGCTATGGTCAAGGCGAATCATGGCCATGTTATTACGATTGCTAGTATGGCCAGCTTTGTGGCGCTCGGCGAGATGGTGGATTATTGTTGCTCCAAGGCTAGTGCGCTTGCTTTCCACGAGGGACTGCGTCAGGAATTGAAGTATTGGTATAATGCGCCCAACGTGCGCACTAGGTGAGTTATCCTCGGATTTTGTCTCTATTTGCGTTAATTGTTGCTTTAGTGTGATTCACCCCATGTGGGTGCGTACCCCCATGATCAAGATGCTCACCGATCACGAGGCGCATTTCAGTCAGCCCATCATGACCCCCCAGGATGTGTCGGAGGCGATCTGTAAGCAGATCTTAACTCAGACTAGTGGTCAGATTATCTTGCCTGCTAGTCAGTCGGCGGCTAGTTTGGTGCGTGCTATGCCAACCTGGATGCAGGAGGGGGTGCGCACTTTCGCGTCGAGTGCGTTAATTAAGATGCGTGTTGCGCAGAAAGCGGAGGAGAAGGCGCAGTAGATTATGTGTTTGGAAATGATAGGCGATATGATTATGTTGTACCCATTTTGGATCTATACGAGTTTAATGTACAACGGTATTGAGAGTCGAAGAAATATCACAGGCGGGTCCATGAAGGTTATCATGTTTTTGAGCAATAGCAATACCTATAGACAGAATATTTGACTATCAAGAAAACATTCTAGCCATGTCTTCGATATGATTCTCAATTCATTCCAATATGTACTCAACACCGTATGTACTCAATTCAGTATGTACAGCATTGCTATATACAAAATCACATCAACCCTGCCAAAAATGCCTCAACTTTGTTCCCTTGCTCCGTCTTGTTATTATCTCCCATCTCCAAATGATAAACCGGCGCAACATGACACTCCCCTGGCCCAACAAACAACTCCACATTCTCGAAGCCCTCCTTAAACTTCCCCGCGAAGTCCTGAATCAAAGGCAACATGATCTCATTCCCGCCCCCGGTAATTAAAACCGAGTTCACTGGGAAGGTCGTAAACCAATCCGTAGGCGCCGTCGACAGATCGGTGTAATAGTCTCGCTTGCCAGGTCCAATATAAGCTGTCGCCCAGGGTCCCGCAACTGCCTCAGTGATGATATCGCCACCGTCATAGATCTTGACACCCGGAAATTCTTTATCGAGAAGTGTCCAGGGGGCGATCATCACTGCGCCGCCCAGATTGCTGTGCAGTGGCAGAACATCGATCTCTGCATGTGGGTGGGCCAGGTGAGAGAGAACTCCACCAACCAGGTTCCCGCCTGCAGAGTCGCCGCCCAGGAAAACCGTAGACGGGTCGCGGTTTGGCTGCGAGAGAATATATCGTAAACAATTCACGGCTTGTCGCAGTTGCGTCGGGTAGACTGCGATCGGGGCTAGCGTGTATGTCAGACTGAAAACTGCGACACTTTTGCCTGATGCTTGGAGTTCGCGCACGAGCTGCGCGTAAAATTTGAAATAGCCCATGTTAGCGGGGAGTCCAAAGCCACCCCCTGAATGATATGGTCAGCTGAATGATCTTCTTTGTTGGCTTTGTGCTGGCTTGTACATACCGTGATACCAGATGATCACGTTGTCGGCATTTCGATCGCCCACCCAGTGGCCTAATGCGCCATCGCCCAATTGCACAGACTCGGGTACTCCGCCTGTTGACTTGGAGTATTGTTCATAGATCTTGAGGTCTGGTGGGAGCAGGTATTGCATCTGACTGGCAGTCATCCGCGCGCTTGTCTTGCGGAATAGCGCATATCCCAAATGAAGAGACAAAGTCTTGGCTTGGCGCTCGGTTCGCCGAAGACCGGTTAGGAGAGCATAGATGTAGATGACCAGGATGGATCCCACGGCTGGGAGGAGGTCCAGTTTCTCCTTTAGGGAGAGTTTCACTTTGGTGAGAGACATAGTTGGACTTTGGAGTGTGTCAGGTCGTATTCTTAAGAGGTATATAGAGGAATTGTCGATCCTTCACAAGGATCTCCCAATTGGGATAATGCCGAGGTTCGGTATTGGAAATATCTTTGATTGCCATTTCTATGTAGATGATAGATATGTACAGAGTATACGAAGTAGATGTATGTGTATATAGATCTATATGTCTATTTCGACTCTCTTATAGATCTTTATATTCAATCTGTGTAACTTGTATAACCTTTGATGACCTTTTTCACTAATATACACACATATTAATCACATATTAATATATATATAGTATATATTAATATAATGCCATATGAAATTCTCCCCGATCTCCCCGTGAGGTTAAAGTTCAACGTGCTGTTTACCCTAAGTAGGTACGATCTGCAGCATGATGCAGCGTGAAGCCGAGGTGTGTTAACTACTTTTTATATCACCTCAATGTTCATGTCGTTTACTTCTTCAGATTCATAAAATGGAGGAAAAACGATTCGATGTCATCATAGTGGGTGCTGGTATCTCCGGCATCAATGCCGCCTATCGTGTTCAAACACAACTTCCCAGCTACACCTACACCATTCTTGAAGCTCGTACCGATCTAGGGGGTACCTGGGATCTCTTCAAGTATCCTGGGATTCGTTCTGACTCTGATCTTTTCACTTTTGGCTTCCAATTCAACCCTTGGTCCCGTGATAACCCCATCGCTGAGGGTTCTGCCATCAAGGAGTACGTGCGCGATACAACCACCAAATATGGCATCGATAAACACATCCTTTACAACCATCGCCTGTCATCAGCAGACTGGTCCTCCGATGAGAACACCTGGTCGCTCGCCGTTGACCACAATGACTCTGAACAAATCTACACCGCCCGCTATGTGATCTTCGGCACGGGCTACTACAACTACAAGGATCCCCTGAATCCCGACATCCCTGGCCTAGACGCCTTCCAGGGCCAGATCGTCCACCCACAGTTCTGGCCCGAGGACTTCCAGTACAAGGACAAGAAGATCGTGATCATCGGATCTGGCGCGACCGCCATCACTCTCCTCCCTAATCTCGCCGACCATGCCGCCCGGGTCACAATGCTCCAGCGCAGCCCAACCTATATCCTCTCCCTCCCAAACCGCTCAAGCAGTCGCTGGCTCTCCTACATCCTCCCCAATGCCCTATATACCAGGCTACAGCGCATGATCTACATCTACACCAATCGCATCTTCTTCCTCTTCTGCCAGCGCTTCCCGAATTTCTCCCGATGGCTGCTCAAGTTGAATGTGCGCAAGCAATTGCCTAGCCATATCCCCCACGACCCACATTTTAAGCCCAAATACAACCCCTGGGAACAGCGGTTGTGTGTGTGTCCCGATGGGGATCTGTTCCGCAGTCTCCGACAGGGCAAGGCGGATGTCAAGACTGACACGATTCGGGAGGTGACAAAGAATGGCATTATCTTAAATTCCGGCGAGAAGCTCGACGCAGATATTATCATTACTGCCACTGGCTTGCGCCTGCAGATTGCGGGTGGCTCGGCACTGTATGTGGATGGGAAGAAGGTTGATGCGGGTGCTAAGTATCTGTGGAATGGAGTCATGCTCCAGGATGTGCCTAATGCCGCTTTCGTGATTGGGTATACTAATGCCTCGTGGACCCTGGGTGCGGATGCTACGGCGCAATTTGTCTGTCGCTTGCTCAAGGAGCTGGAGTCGCGCAAGTTGATCGCTGCTGTTCCCCGTCTGAAAGAGAAGGAAGCAGCGGCGCTCCAGGATCGTCCTCTCTTGAACCTCAAGTCGACTTATGTCTCGGTCGCTGAGAGCGTTCTACCCAAGGCTGCGGACCGTGGTCCGTGGCAGCCGCGTGATCACTACTTGAAGGACATCAAGTTTGCTCAGAGTGGTGATATTGACACCGGACTGGAATTTGTGCCAGGGCCGAGTCTGCGTCTGCGCCCGAAGATGTCGTGATATAGGTTTATGGTATGATACCGCCGTAACTATTATTTGGGGTCTGATTCGGTGTATGGCGTTGGAGGAGGCTCAGTATTCAGTACACAATATATTCATTCCCATTCTTTGTGCAATCTCCCTCTCAGTTCAACAGTAACATGCTATCTGCGAGGCAAACAACAGCAAGGCTCTCCCCTATGCACGACCTGATCAGCTTATGATGATGCATCTATCGGAGCCGCGCAGACACTCATATTCCCAAAATACCACCCATGTTCAGGATTCGGCCACCTCAAATCCCGATCCGAACCAGCATTCCCTGCCCTGCTATTGATCCCTTCAACATACTGCACCCCATCAGCGGTGGCCTGCACTCCAGTCTCCTGAGTAATCCAGTATTCAGGCGAAGGCTGGCTCCAATCCAAGAACGGCAGATTGATTGGCACCTTCGGTACGGGGTCTGTAGTATGTGTGGCCCGGTAAAGGCTGTTTGGCGGTTGTTGGTTTGTGATGAACTCGGCCAGCTTCATGTTGCCTGGTTTTGGGGCTCCGAATGTCCACTGATTTCTAAATGTTAGCTGACCTCGACATTCTTTTTTTGTTCTGCAGCTTGACTTACAACGTCTAGACTAAACCCTTGCGTTCGAAGAACAGTCCCCGCCAGTGTCGCAATGCCCCCACCCAGACTGTGTCCGACAACAGTTAACCTATACCCTGGATATGAACTGGTTGTACCGTGAAGCTGGGCCGTCGCCTGGCTCGCTATAGCGGTCCAGTATACCCAGAACCCATGATGGGCTTTGCATCCAGTGCACACCTCATCAATCGGGGTGAGAGCGAGGTCGAGATCTGTGTTGCCGTCGCTTTCAGATACCGTTCCGCGAAATGTTATGAGAATCAGTTCCCGTGTGTGGTCTAGGGCGATGTAGCCTGTCGGCCCGTGGTCGCTGTGGAATGTGTTGATTACCGTTGTGTTATCGGCTTCTACGAGTCCACAGGTGCCGTAATCGCAGGTTAGGCGTTGGCCCGTGTGGTTGATATTTTGGTCACAGGCCGATAAGGTAGCGAATTGGGAGAATAGGGTGAATCGCTCCATTAGCTCGGTTGAGATCGCTGGTACATTTCCGTCGTTAGATTCATATGGTGCTTTGCGCCTTGTTGTACGTGCGACTTACCCCGGCGTGCCAATTGGATAGGAGATGCAATGGCCATCATGCTGAGTGATAGCACTGCCAGCACAGATTTCATTGACCCAACCATCTTGGATAAGCTGGATATACAGATGGAGAATATATGCAGCTTGTATTGGACTGGGATATCCTGCAAATGTGATACTTTGTCTATTCTCTTCCTGTGAGAGATGAGTCCATATTTATAGACTTCCTTTTCCACCGACAATGTTAGCTCGCTCATGGAATAAAAATTCCAAGGAAGGGTAATGGCTGTAGGACTCAATGGCTCAATGCTATGCACCGTGATACAATTTGTGTGGAGCTGACTGTAAAATCGCCAGCTGACTACGTTGGCAGCGTTAATCCATCTTGCATCCGGAGGATAACTCGATCTCAAGGCTGAACAACCAATTAGGGTTACTAAAACAACACCAATTCCTTGATACACCGAGGATGCCGTCGGGTAGCACCGGGAAAGGTTGCACTGCATTCTCATACATCTATATGCATCGTGTATAACCGCAGTAGATGCATTGTGATTAACGGTACCCCTTGCATTTTCATGCTGTGTGACCTTTGATCCTTGAGCATGGTGTAGCTGGACATTCTTGCACGTGCAACAGCAAGGTATGTAATAGAACAGCTGGATGTAAACCATGTCGATCCTCTAGATGTAGACTCTTTTTGGCTTCGTGTGAGTAAATATGTATTTAACTAGTAAATTTCCTCGAATGATATGCAACCACTGGTTTTATTGAATCTTGCGTGCATACCATCACATCTCTATGGTTGGATATGGATTACGGTATCCTATAACCTGGCCATTCTCCCATGTAGTTGGAAGATCTGTTGGCAATGTAGCATGATCGTCGATAATTGCTTTTTCTGCACTTCAGCTGAGGGGAAAGTCCTCAAGCCCCTCCCTCTATTACGTTGTGATATTGGAACGGAGACGTGAAGTTCTCAAGGCAACAACTTTCTAGGTATGTAGCCATTACTTGACCTTTTGGTCTTGTTCTATACAACTGCAAACTTTTATCCATCCGCCTGGGTTCTCGAACTTCTCTGAAAATTAAAAAGATCATACAATGACTTGCTCTTCTCTTCATGCAAGCCTCTACTCTATATTGTGATCAAGACTAGTTCTTGTCAAGTATCCATCCAACCATGTTAAAATCAACAATACCCATGCTATTTAGACTTGCATTTCGACACTTCCTGGAAAGGCCCACCACATGAGTAGAATAAACACTGTTTGACTTGGATAGTTATACTGATTTATCTCTTCAAAAGCTACCATTCTAGTAGGCCCCTGCGTGACCGAAACCACCTACAGTCCGTCTCCTCGCCGACCCAGATGTTTTGGTCTTGAAAACCTTCAGTCTCAGCGAATTGGAGTAAGATCTTTTCTTATCCCCGCTCCACTATCTTTATATCACCACAAAAGTGGGCGACCTTCACTGCTTCTCTTCCTCTGACTCCTGTTGAGCCAACATACATCACCTCAAGGACCGGGGCCCATAGACCCCCTTGACTTCCCCTTACTGCGATGAGACCAGCGGCTTCACGCTCGGCGGCAAGGTAGCTGTGCTTAGGTCTTAGCCTGGCATTCGCGCCGATACAAGGTGGACAGCGACTCGCTGCTTGCAGATTTCCGCTTTTGGGGAGAGTTGGCGGAATTTTGTTCCTGGAAGAATGCGGAGTATGTGAAAAAACTAGGGATATGGATGCCTGGTACATGTGAGTTTCCTAGAGATTTGAGACAAAACTCGTGAAGTACCTTACCTAGATATATGTATATTGCTTATAAATTAAGTTTAGAATTTAACCTTTGAGGAAGCAATTAAGGTTAAACTTAAACTTGGGGAAATTTGAGGTTCCACGGGTGGCTTGTTGTTAATTCAAAGGTTCCGGATGATGTAACTCCTGATATATCTCTGCCATGTTTCTGCCATGTTCTTTTATACTTTTACACTACATTGCAAATATCCTCCATACATATTCTAATGTCTAACAAGTATACCGACCCCAAACTTCGCGATGAAGTTAAAAAGGAAGTCCACAACAGCGACAAGGGCGGGAAACCGGGACAATGGTCTGCACGAAAGGTAATCAACATCGCTCCTATCGTATCTACTTGATATCACATGGTGTGGTTTCTGACACTCGTGCAGGCTCAAATGATGGCATCCGAATACAAAAAGCGTGGCGGCGGCTACAACACCACAAAGACAGAAGGCCAGACGGAGTCTCAGAAACACCTCGAGAATTGGACAAAAGAGGAATGGCAGACGAAGGAGGGATCTGGCACGGCTCGACAGGATGATGACTCGCGTAAGCGGTATCTGCCTAAGAAGGCGTGGGAGCAGTTGAGTGAAAAGGAAAAGGAGGAGACGGACGAGAAAAAGATCGAGGAGTCACAAGGTGGGAAGCAGTTTGTTGGTAATACCGCCGAGGCAAAGGAGGCCAGGCAGAGGGTTAGTTCTGATGTTGGGGGTGAGGATGTTGGAGTGGAGGACCAGAAGGTGAAGGGAGATACGGAGAAGGTTCGACAGAATGGAGAGGCTGCTGAAAAGGGGACGAACAACGAGGAGAAAACCGAGGGCAAGAAAAGCGGCGCAGGAACCAAACGCAGCGCGAAACAGGATGCAACACCTAAAAAGAAACAGAAGGACAGCGCTAGGATGGAAAGTCTACGGAAGAGAACGTGATTTTGATTTAGTTGAGATTCTATGGAGGAGAGTCAATGTCTGCACCACATGCGAAGATAATAATGAGATGGTTCACAAACAACACGGTAGCATGATACTCTGTTGTATTCGAGCTCGGTTGACTCCTCCAAATGCGACTTCGGCGGATGCTGTTGACAAAAGGAACTATAAAAGGAACCTGGTCAAGGATAGTCAATGGCCGAAGTGGGACAGGTATCCACGATGGCATGTGAAGTGTAAGGCGAAAGTATGTGAAGGAAGGCGAAGGTAAAGGGAAAATATAGAGAAGGCATTAAGCAAATTGGACCAAAATCCCAGTAGACTACCTTTGGTACAGTCCTACCAGAGTACAATGTCTACGAAAGAAAGAAATTGAGTAAAATGAAATATCATTTCAATGGGTATCCATGGTCTTGAAGTCCAGCTTTTAGCCAATCATGCCAAGATATTAACTCAAAACCATCCCTATGTACCATTACTTCATCCTGACATATCTCGTTCGATACCTCTCTTTTACTTCCGCTCCTCATCCACACGCGCCTGGGGAGTGAATTCACTGTCTGGCAACATGTTCATGGCGTCTTCCTGTGCGTCCAACTTATAGTTGGTGGCCCAGAAGCCAATAGCACCGAGGAAGGCGAGGATGGCTACCACAGTGTAGTTCCAAACCAAGAGAGGATCATCCGCCAGACCAATGAAAGCCTGACCAAGGGCAGACGAGAAGGCGTTCATCAGGAGGGACACAGCCTGCACGAGAGATCGCATGTTCTTGGGGGCCTTGGTGTAGGCATACTCCAGGGAAGTCACGGAGGCAAAGATCTCGGAGATACCACCCATGATGTAGGTCAGGGCTTGGATCCAGACGGAGATGTTGGTGTGTTTGTGCAACTCCTCGAGACAATAGTTGGCCTCTTTACCACAGGGTCCCATCTTGTAGATGTAGTGTTGAGTGACGGCGGCAACGACCATACTGAGGGCGGCCATGATGAAACCGGCCGTAATACGCTTCAAGGGGGTGAAATGGAAACCCATCTTGCGGATAGCGGGGTAGACAAGCTGATCAAAGATGGGAATGAAGATGATCAGGGCAATAGGGTTGAGGTTGTTGATGATGTCGTTGGGGACACCACCCAGTTTCATGGTGGCCGCTTGAGATGTCAAGTTGTTCAACATCTGGTTGTAGGCGAGCCCTAGAGATGGTCAGCATGCGAATATTCAGTGCAGATGAGGTTTGTCACGTACAGTAAAGAGGGTACCACAAGAACACTCGGCAGGCCATCAGTCCACGTCGAACTTCATCAACCCAGGCATCATCAAAGTCCATCCACACGGGCTTGCTTGCTCCGAGGTAGCTGGGCTTGACGGTGGCCCAAATATCGGTGTCAGAGGACTTGAACCTACAAAAAGTTAGTCAGGTGTTAACACTCGGGGGACCGGGATATAGCTTACCACCGCACAGGGTTCAGAGACCAGTGGCCCTTCATTGCCAACATCCACAGCTTGAAGGCCTTGGGATAGATTGATCCGCTGGGAGGAGTGAGGATGTACTGCTTCTTGCACAGGAGTAATACCACAGGGCAGACACAGAACATGGCGGTGGGGAGAAGGTAAGAGAGCCAGAAACCAACGTAACGCTCGGCGTAGACCATGGCAATCTGACCGATGAAAGAACCGGTGTTGACCATCATGTAGAAGTACAGGTAGATACGGGAAACTGTGGCAGACGGGTCCACGATGACACGCTCACCGGACTCAAGGGTCATGATATAGGGCTTGTCCTCACGATATTGTTCTGCGATCAGAGGGGCGATGTTGGCCTTGAAACCACCAGTTCCAATACCCATGATAATAAGACCAATAGAGAAGCATGCAATGGCACCGTTGGGGCTTTCAATAACTTGGGGAATGGCGGAAACGATAAGAATGATGTGTCCAACGAGTGCGCAGGCAATGGCGGACATGATGGTACGGTAACGACCCCAATATTGATCAGCAACCATGGCACCGAAGAGAGGCATAATGTAAGACCAGAAAGAGTTAACTATGCCAGTCAATCATATTAGCAAAATGAACTGAACCCCTCGAGAACCACATCACTCACACAGTGTCAAACCAGTGGAGGCCTGTTGGCCCATACCCAGAGCTCCGGGGGAATCGTTGCTCCAGTCGGAGAGACCTGCAACGAGGGCACCGCTAGAAGATCCATCGGGCAAAGGTCTCTGAATGAAGTTGACGACTATAATTCATATGGTTAGTCGATGTCTTCCTCCCTTCCAAGATTCGATAGTCCATACAAACAGCAGTGGTACCGTAGTACGAGAAACGCTCGCACAGTTCCACAAAAGCAACGCTGTATGCTGCAATGGGCAGCTTGCCGGCAACACGGCGCAAATTGACTAGATCGTCCGCGGTAGGAGCGGTCTTGTCCATAGAATCATCGATGGAGACATCTCGCAGGGGAGGGGCATTGTCGATTGTCATCTCATCAACTACAGGGATTTTCTCATTCACACCGATATCGTGTGCGATTGCCCTAGATTTGGCAATCTCAGCCACATCGACAGGGTCGCTGGCATTCATGGTGGCAGTTCTGTGGGGGATCCAAAAGATATGGGAGATGAAACACACAGAAAGAAAAAAGAAAGAAAAGAAAAATTTGGGGGAGGGCGAGGTGAAGCAATTATATGGACATGGTGTGATTTAGCGTAGCCATTCAGCTGGACCTTTTTTTCCGCGCGCATTCATTCACATTTCCTAGAGAACTCCCGGGGCATTGTCTGCATTAGGACCGTGGCGGACGGCATGGCAAAAACCGTCAATAGCCGGAAAAAGACCCTGCATCTAGGACATTTCCTAGATTAAGCCTGTTGAATTGGCTCCAATGGTGAGCTTCGGCACCATCCGGTTCTCACCAGTTTTCTGATAAGAGAAAATAAAAAGTCTTAAAGTGAAAAAAGATCCCGGATGTCTAAATAGATGCCAAGACTTTTATCAACCAATCAATCAGCTGTTGTGGGCTTAGACCCCCCAGATTTGGTGGTACGGGTACCCACTTAGTGTTAACCTTAGCGTGCATTGGCGTATCTTGGCGTTATCTTGGCACGGCTAGTCCGAGTATCTCCCCGCGCCATGCCGCTTGGCTGGTAGGTTACATTGTAACCCTGTCTGCTTGGCTACTTTCTTATACCCTATCATAATCAAGAAATCAAATAGCCGAGGTGAGATAACTGGTAGTTCTCCAAAATAATCTTATTTACTATCTCACACATGGCCTCGGTCCAATGATAGAGATATTAAACCCCTCGCTTGGTAAAAAAATTGCGGGACCTCAACTGATTAGGCTCAAGGTAAAATTGCCACTATCCCCCACCCCCTGGGGAAGTGAGACATATTGTTGGGCCCCATGTGATGTTGCCATATTACCAAATTACCCGAGTACTTTACAAAACATTCCTTCGCATTGGCACTGTCTTGGTCCGTCGGGCTCCCGGGATCGGCCTCGTATAAACTCATGACTGTTAAAGTTGACTACCAGTTATGGGAGTTATCGGGTTTCGCCCCCTTTGGTCTCTCACGCGATTAGGCCACCTGATTTTACTTCGCGCTTTCGAGGGTTTCTTTCACTCTGGTAGCAAACATTTCAAGTTTTACCAATTTTCAATTTACCATCACCTCGTCCTGGATGCGATCAGCCGGGTGATCGTCACTCACTACATCCACCGTGCATCGGGTTGCCAGGTCGCATGGTGGAGTGATACTGTCTGCACATCACGCTTGATTTCTGAACTAACATGTTCATCGAGGTCGCTAGCTCCTTGCTCACGTTGGCGCGATCAAAGTCATCCCTGTCCGAGATATCCACCAGGGATTGCCCAGCCTACCATGCTTTGCATTGACCGTTATATCCTTGCACGCTCCCTTGACCTTTTGATTGGACGATAACATCTATGGGTCGTATGTCTGAAGTACCGAACCAAGTTGGCTTGGCTTTGTGTTGAGTGGATATCCGATCGCGTGACCACATGCCTGCATTGCGCTGTCGAATTATATTGGCCTGTTTGAAACAAGATACTAACCTTGACATCTTAAACAGGGGTGTTTGTACGGAGTAACATCCAAATCATCTAACCCCTCTTTATCGCGTTCGAGTTTCCCCGTTGCCAAGGGTCGGAATATATACATTCACATATGGCGTAAAAGATAATTCGATACACACTTTTCCTTCGATATACCTCAGTTTATACACTCTTATTATATTCAATGTAATCCGTCTCAATACCCCCTAGACCTTTGTTTTCAATCAAAATTCTCAAAGCTCATGGTTGAGGTGATTCACGTTGATATGTGGCCACTTGCGAAACAAACGAGAGAGCCTCTGATGTCCTCTCTACAATCTAAGCTCTCGGCATGCTTTCCACATCTTTGGTGCTTCCTCGAATCGCAGGAGTGTGACTAGTCGACACATCATCCCACCTTGTTCCTACAGGCTCGATCCCCGAAAAATTCTCTCTGCCAGATCTGATACCAGTTCGCCTCGCCCCTTCCGAGTATTATTCGAAGCTGGATTGAATCTGGCATAGGGGCATCATATAAGGAGCTCGCCGGTGCGACGTGACGGGAATTTGGTTATGTACATCGGGCTTCCTTCCGACAAGTCTTACACCGACCTGTCAATGCGACCGGGGAGGGATCTAGACCTTCCAAGGAGTCTCCCTATCAGAATTGTCGATGCGATCGAGGTGATATCTGGCCCGTAATTGGCCAGGTTGATCTAGTTTTCTTCTAACAAGTCATTTATGCCAATGTGATCAGTTTGATCCGGGTGGGATTGGGCTGGAGATCATCGTCAAGTTAGGTCAATCTAACCAATATAGCAGAAGCCAGGTCTACCTAATCAAGGTCTCAGTCTCTCCCATCAACCATGCTGCCCGGGAACAGGGAGCTTCCTACCCTGATCCCACCCCTATCGCGTCGACGTGCACTTCCTAGATTAGAATCTGATTTGATCTAACCAAGATCCCTGTTTCGGATCGTACTAAGAATTGCACCGATCGGCCTTGCACAGCCTCTCATAAAGTCGGAACAATCTGATCCTTATCTCGAAATGCCTCACCCCGATCGCATCGACGGGTCTATATAAACAGAATTTGTTGGACGGGAACCCCATCGATCTAACAAAACCCGACCGATGGCAATCTCAGCCCTCTCTTACCTCAAATCGAGCATGAGAGTGGCAGGTTCGTGTTTTTACATATCTACCAGGTCAATTCCTATATTCGATTTCACTGGAAGACGACTTTAGTCCAACGAACAACTTCAAGTGATGGAGACCATAGGTTGAATACTAAGCGAAGCAAGATGGAAAGTCCCTCTGCCGAAATATATCTCAAATGTCAAGTATCACCATGCAATTCAATTTCTTGACCCCTTTTCGGTTAAGGTCTTATTCATTGACGCGTTTTGGAGGAGCACTTTTTTTTTCGCTTCCAAGACCCAGCTTGTTAGTTGCCTCATACATGGGGAACGAAGTAGGCTTTCAACGTCAATATGGTGACCCCATACCTCCATCACGCATGTCAAGTTCATCAACTTTGACACGAAGGCGGAAAGGCTCAAGTAGCTCAGCGGGTGCCTTTTGCCGCACACAGTCCGATTGTATTCGTCCGTCAATCACATCCCTAGTGGCTCTCCTAGTGAGTCCTAAGGAGTTGATCCGCCCGAGCGGCGAGAATCCTTTCAGACGTTGTGGCAAGAGAAGGAGAGGGCGACCATAGTGCAGAGATTCCATGATAACGATGGATTCAATGTATTGTAAGGCAACTCAATTTTCCTAGGCACTGAAGACTGTGCTTTGCCAATTTTTTCCCATGGCTTGGCATCATGGCAAAAGTTTTCACCTGGAAATTTTCAGTCCTGTAGATGGCGGGATTGGCTTTGTTCTCTCTCGATCATATTAGCGTATTAGGCAAATATGAAAGTGTGAACTGGTGCTGGACAGTCCAGCCAGTATTTTAACTAGATACTAGGGCCGCCTTCCATATCAGGGACAGTACTACATCTCTATTGGATCCATTGGAGACTCCGTGGACTGGCTATTGGACACGGATGACCTGAAAAGTGAGAAATCAGACATTTCCATGTGAAAAGGGAGAGGATTTGGAATGGCCTGGTGGGAATTCGGATACATTATCCACATCCAGCAGGAGCTTGAAGTTTTGGTTATGATATATGCTAAAATAGTGCACAGGCAAGGTTTGAAGGTGAAAATCAAATCACCGAGTTCATTGAGTGCGATTTTCCAACTCCGGCTGACGTTCGCCTAGAAAAACAGAGTTATTTTCCCAGAGAAGCATCCTTGACTCGTCTCATCGGGCGTGGAGAATGGCCAAACATACGATATACGCCCCTTGTGTCAACTTGGCTGACATGTAGGCCACATCATTCCAGATCCGATGTGCATTCCTCTCAACGGCTACAAACCTTCTCGGCGAACCACACTTGTTTCATTTTCATGGTCGTTCTCCCTGCTGATATGGAGAATACACCTCTGCTCTCCATTATCCCTGCATAATCAGTGCACCGGCTGATCTGCCGCGTTGACTTCCAGCTATACTTTCTCCACTGCACCTCAGGTTTCGGTGGGACATACCAAATGCCAACCGGAAAAATAAGGGAATTCAACCGAAGAGACACTTGCTGGTGCTCCCGAGTAATGACACAAACCTGTTCATGTAGACTTGCTCTGAGAATGAACAGTGGGGATGGGAACACCGATGTGCTATATATGCCCTTGTTGGCTCGGCACGAGAATTGCTGGGGCAAGGGCAAAGCACAGTCACCACTGGTGCATTAAAACCCCTTCTACCAAGCTCAAGGAAACACAATAATGCCTTCTATTATAATACTGATCTTATTGTCTGCTTTGCATCTGGCCTGGGCTGTCCCGGCGCAAAAGAGAGCAGTCAACCCAACTGTTGTCATCCCCAAGCCCGAGGCAACTGTCGGGGGCTCCATGGGTCCCAACAATATCGATACGTTCAATCGCATTTTCTTCGCACTGCCTCCAGCTGGGCCTCTCCGGTTGAAACCACCTCAGCCAATCAAAACATCCCAGGGGACTATTCAGGCTACCTCCGTTGCGAAGTCTTACCCACAGTTCTTGTTGAGCACCGACGAAAAGGACGTGCCTAGCTCTGTAATCTCGAAGCTCTTCAATATCCTGATGTTCCAGGAGATTATCAATTCTGGCGAGGACTGTTTGACCCTCGATGTACGCCGTCCTTCCAAAATCAAGGCAGATGCAAAGCTACCGGTGGTGGTCTGGATCTTCGGTGGTGGCTTTGAACAGGGTGCCACCAAAAGATATGATGGCTCAAACTTTGTCACAAACTCTGTGGAGCTGGATATGCCAGTCGTCTTTGTGACCATGAACCACCGTCTCGGAGGGTTCGGCTTTCTACCGGGGACAGAAATCCTGAAAGATGGCACAGGAGTTGTGGACCATCGCTTTGCTTTGCAATGGGTCGCAGAAAACATCGCGGTATCTGGAGGTGACCCGTCCAAGGTCGATTTTTGGGTGAGTCTGCTGGAGCCATCTCCGTATTTGACCAGATGGCCATGTATGATGGTGACAATAAATACAACGGTGCGCTGCTTTTCCGCAGTACCATCATGAACTCCGGCAGCATTGTGCCTGCAAATTCAGTCGACGGCACAAAAGGCAGGCTATATATGACACTGTTGTTAAGAGCGCTGGCTGCAGTGGCGTCAGTGACACCCTCGCATGTCTATGCGAGCTGGATTACACCAAATTTCTCAACGCCGCCAACTCGGTCCCGGGCATCATGGGTTACAATTCTGTCGCCGAGTCATATCTCCCTCGTCCGGATGGCACGGTTTTAACTGCATCACTAGAACAACTAGTCATCCAAGGCAAATATGCCTCGGTGCCATTCATCATCGGCGGCCAGGAAGATGAAGGCACTATCTTTGCTATATATCAGAACAATGTCACAACCACTGAGCACATCGTGGACTATCTACAGAGTCTATATGTCTTCGACCCCTTGCGACAGCAGATTACAGATTTTGTCGCCACCTATAGAAATATCCAAGAAGACGGCTCACCCTTTCGTACGGGATCCCTTTACAACTGGTACCCTCAATATAAACGACTGGCAGCCATCCTGGGCGATCTGTCATTCACTTTGATACGCCGGGCCTTCCTAGACTACGCTCAGAAAGCGAAACCAGATGTTCCTTCCTAGTCCTACCTCTCTCCTATGACCATTGCGTTCAGTTTCTAGGAACATTCCACGGATCTGATATTATTCAGAGGTTCTATGGAATCCTGTCAAACTACGCATCCAAATCTATACAATCATACTACTTGTCTTTTGTGTATGACCAAAACCCTAACGCAAGGGCTGGAAACTACATGGATTGGCCACAATGGGTGACAACAACTCTCTGATGAGCATTTTGATCGATCGCGGTGCCCTTTTGCCGGATAACCTTTGTCAGGATACTTATAATTTTATGATGGCGGATCTTGCTGCGTTCCATATTTGAGTGTCCATATTTGAGTGTCCATATTTGAGTGTCCATATTTGAGTGAGAATGCGAGTCTGGACGGTTGGGCACTTTACGGGTTACGTTTGTATGAATTACCTGTCATGAAATATAACTCAACTCGTACAATGTTTTGGGATTTGGCCTACAGGGCTGTGCCCATAGAAAATAGGCAGATATCAACGATAGTTGCAAGTTTCAGACATGAATTCATCTTTAAGTAGAATCTGTCATTGTCACTAACTCCCAGTTCATTTCCAGCTCGCCGTCACAGTGGCTGTACTTCCAGTACAACCAGTTGGAACCGTATATGACCGATTAGGATCGCTCTCCCATGTCAAAACTCCGTTCGTCTTCTTGAGGAATTTATACTGGAAGGTTGTTCCAACGGGGAGCGTGATAGTCGCCTGCCACAAGGGATTGGAAGAAGTGTAGCTGCCTGCAGACAGTGCGACGGCTTTACTCGTGTCCCAGGTCCCAAGTTGACTGATGGAGCCTGAAATGTAGATATCCTGGCCATAAGAAGTAGTCACAAGCTCCTTGAATAAGACCGGAAGGGCAGTGGCCTGGGTGCAACCCCCCGCTGTCGTGGTTATCGTGGTGGTCTGAGTCGCTGTGGTAGGTGTGGTGGCCGTGGTAATGGGGACAGTTGAGCCGCATAGCCCGCTGTTGCTCACGGATGATGCGAGAACAAACACTCGTGGCAGTCCAGATGCCATTGGCACTGCAATTCTGTTGCTGGAATCCACTGTCACAGATGTGCAGGTGTACAGCTCCATTAGCTGGGTGCCGGATGAATACCCGCTCCCACTCAAATACAATGTGTAGGAAGATCCAGATGACCCGGCGTTGGAAAGCACCGTGATGACGGGCGAACTACCCGATCCCTTCTTCATGGCTAATGTGTTGCTGTCTTGATAGAAAGCGACATTCTTATAGCTTGTCAGTTTTTTTCCACCAGCATAGGTTTGAAAATACGTACCTTGCTCGTGATATAGCTGGAATCTGCCGCGACAGCCGCTTTGCGAATCTTGTTTGTAGTCGCAATATATTTGTATAACTCTGCTGTGGTGGAGTATTTTGACAGCCAGATAGCCTCACGGTTGGCCGGGTCATTTCCTCCATTATAGTGTTGCTCCTGGCCAGAATACACAATGGGAATACCGTCTGATAAGAAGAGGAATGAGAGCACATTCTTGGCTTGTGAGTAGTCGCTTGTGTAGCTATGATGAAGGTAGTTAGTATTGAATAGCTTTGAGAACTTCAAATTGCCTTACCTTGGGAAACGTGGGTTGTCGTGATTTTCAATGAAATTGCCCAGTAGGGTTGAATCAGCACAAGCGGACGCCACAGTACCGATCATATTATACAAATCGCTAATGCTACCACTGGAAGTTTGGAACGCGCGTAGCAGTGGATAATACCTGGACGGTTAGTTTTTCTCTGGGAAACCGGATGGTAGTCATCTCACATGGGATAATTCAAGACACCATCCATGTAGTTTTGATAATCGCAGGTGTACGATGGACTTCCATCAAAGACCTCCCCGACACTATAGACACCTGCCGCGCGGTTAAAGGCAGGCCAGAAAGACTTCTGGACATGCTTCACGGTATCGATACGCAATCCATCAACTAACAACGTTAGACAAGCTTTGAACATAAAGCATTCCACTTACTGGAGTACTTGGACACTAAACCAGAAATCCAATTGTTCCAAATGGTCTGCACTGAGCTCTGGGTTGTATCGAGATCTGGCAACGAGACAGTGGTGTCGCCAAGCCAACAATTCTCGACATTAGACTGGTCATTGTAATTACTGATCAAGCAGTAGGGGTGGAAATAAGACGCAGAGTTGAAGGGGGTGAAAACACTATAATCCACATTATTTCCAGCCCCGGCGTAACCCTATTGTGTGGTTAGAAAGGTTTCTATCCCATTGTTCAGGATAACACACCATATGGTTTGCCACGACATCAACCATAAGATACATGCCTCGAGCATGCAGTGCCTTGGAGAGTGCTAAGAGATCATCGGCCGTTCCATGGTTTGGATTAACATTGTATCTAGTGAAGTTTGTAAGCAGTATTCTAGCATCAATGGTTGAATAACCTTACATATCTTGCTGCCAGTACCCATGATATGACGAGCCATCGCCAGTGTTTTGCGAGAGCTGTTTTGTCACTGGAGTAATCCAAATGGCAGTAAAGCCCATTCCCTGGATATAATCCAACTGGTAGTCAGGTTAGTATATGAATTGCGAATAGAGGAATTTGATGCACACCTGGTTGATAATTCCCTGCCAACTGCCACCACAGTAAATCTAACACGCGTGATTAGTCTATAAATTGAGACTCGAAGACAAAACAGCATGCATACCCTGTCGTTAACGTTACAGTTTGCAGTGACTGAATTGTCGCTGCGTCCAAAGCGATCCGTCAACAGGAAATAGATCGATTGACTGCGCCATTCGGCGGGAGTCAGGCCCATGACCATCTGCCATAGCAGCAAGGTTGCTGTGAATATAAGTTTCTTCATGCTTGCGCCGTGAATGTGTGGGACTTGATTGTTTGGCGGTGTTTGGGTTCTGAGAGAGACCAACAGGGACAGCAGTCAGACCCAATTTATACCTTTGACTTGCATGCTAGGCATGGTAGTCATGTCATCCAGGTCAGCACAAGATGAGCTTTTTCTCACGGCAATATATGTTGTATACTCATAGAATAAGCTTTGCGTAGTTCTAGTCCAATCGGTTAAATGCACAAGACGTAAAAATTCCAAGTTGCTTCAAGTCTGCTCCTCCGGGCCGAGATGTAGAGTCAATATACTGAGAGGAAAGTCAAATTACTCCGAAAAGCTAGGCAGCTTCGAAGTTGCAGGATACTAGCGGTCCTCAGGCCCTGCACCAGGCTCGAAGAAGTCCATTTCTCCGAAGGTTAGCCCACCTGCGGGATTCTTCGAGGCTCCACATCTTCAGGACGTTATCACAGTTGAGAAATGTCGCATCAAACTCACATGCATGACATTTCTCACCAAAGCGCTAGTTCTTAGGTAGGTCTAGCGTCCTGGTAACGGCGATAATCCAACCGGCTGATTGGTGGCCACCACCCCGGATTATCCGGTGAAGATGACAGGGGACGGAGATTCAGCGGGATCAAATATCGGAGATAATGACGCGGCATCTGTTTGACGGTAATTAATGCTTGATTTGAAAGTGGTTGATCTAAGCGATTGGAATGGAGATCATCGGACAGTAAGATATCGCATGTGCTTCGGGAGATATTCAACCCGCCTACTGAAAAGAGTAATGATAGACCTGAGACTTGCAGAACCAGAAATGAAGCTCTTGACTAGTGCTGAAAGCGAATTAGGGGAATGGCGATCTTTGCCTGATGGCATTTTCTCCGGGTTCCGGAGCTCATTGCCCCTGCAATAGTGTGCGATGCTGCAAATTTCCATGCAATGAACACGCAATGCGCATGCAAGTGCATCAGTGGAATTGCGACCGAATGGAGTTTACTTGCATTCCATATAAAAAGCACGTTTGGCCCCCATGATGAGTCTAAGTCAACTCACATTCTGACCTCATGATGGCCCCTCGTTTTTGGACTGCGCTTTGGGCGCTTACTCTTGGCCATGCAGTCATCGCCGCCCCCCAAATACCGTTGCACTCTCGTGCGACAGGTAGTTTGGATACATGGTTGGCGTCTGAGATCACAGTGGCAAGACAGGGTATCCTGGATAACATCGGATCGGCTGGTGCCTATGCTGCGAATGCAAAGCCGGGCATTGTAGTAGCCAGCCCGAGCACCTCTGACCCCGATTGTAAGTCATACCACAGCTATTTATTGAAGTGAGAACTGAATGGTCCTATAGACTATTATACGTGGACTCGCGACTCAGCACTGGTGTTCAAAACTTTGGTCGATATGTTCAAAAACGGCGACAGCGCGTTGTTGAATGTTATTGAAGAGTATATCAATGCGCAGGCCTATATACAGACAGTATCGAATCCATCTGGAGATCTTTACAGCGGTGGACTGGCTGAGCCCAAGTTTAACGCCGATGAGACAGCTTTCACTGGCTCTTGGGGACGCCCCCAGCGTGATGGACCGGCCTTGCGAGCCACTGCATTGATTTCATTTGGTCAATGGCTTATTGTATGAATTTAGATTCTCTTTACTATTGCGTTGCTAACTAATTCAGGGTAATGGGTACACTAACTATGCGACCAACATTGTCTGGCCCGTTGTGCGTAACGATCTATCCTATGTTTCGCAGTACTGGAATCAGACCGGATTTGGTTAGTATACCTCGAACTATAGTTGTGCAAATTGCTGATATCCTCCAGATCTCTGGGAAGAAGTTTCTGGCTCATCGTTCTTTACCATCGCGGCTCAGCACCGCGCCTTAGTGGAGGGAAGCACGTTCGCGAAACAAGTCGGTTCCTCATGTTCCTACTGTGACTCTCAGGCTCCGCAGATCCTATGCTTTCTACAGTCTTTCTGGACTGGATCTTACATTTTGGCCAACTTTGGTGGTGGACGCTCTGGCAAAGACGCCAACACCTTGCTCGGTAGCATTCAAACTTTCGACCCGGAGGCAGGATGCGATGATACCACATTCCAGCCTTGCTCAGCTCGAGCCCTCGCAAATCACAAAGCTGTGACTGATTCGTTCCGATCGATCTATTCTGTCAACTCGGGTATCGCTGCGGGTAAGGCTGTTGCTGTTGGTCGATACCCAGAAGACTCATACTACAATGGTAACCCTTGGTACCTCTGTACTTTGGCTGCTGCTGAGCAACTGTATGATGCTATATATACGTGGAACCGTATTGGCTCTTTGACAATTACCTCTGTTTCTTTGAACTTCTTTAAGGATCTGTACAGCTCTGCTGCGACCGGTACCTACTCTTCGTCTAGTGATACATATTCCGCGATCGTGAGTGCTGTCAAAGCATATGCGGATGGGTATGTTGGTGTTGTGGTATGTTGCAAATTCCCGTGGATGGTTGAATACCCCGATTAACAGATATCTCAGGAAAAATACGCCCCATCCAGTGGCTCCTTGGCCGAGCAATTCTCCAGGTCCGACGGCTCGCCACTTTCAGCTCGTGACCTGACTTGGTCCTACGCAGCCTTGCTTACCGCCAACGAGCGTCGAAATGCCATAGTTCCTGCACCATGGGGCGAGACCTCTGCCAGCAGTGTCCCTGGCCAATGTCAATATACTTCGGCTATTGGTACTTTCAGCAGTGCAACAAACACCGCTTGGCCTAGCACTTTGACTAGTGGATCAGGTAGTGTAACTACTACTGGACCGGGTGGTGGAACTGCCACTACGACTACGACGACCACGACGACCACGACAACATCATGCACCGCCCCGACTGCCGTAGCAGTGACATTCAACATGATCGCCACTACCGTATATGGTCAGAATATCAAGCTTGCTGGATCTATTTCGCAGCTTGGATCCTGGTCCCCAAGCAGCGCTATTGCGCTGAGCGCTTCCTCATACACTTCGAGCAACCACTTGTGGTTTGTGACTGTGTCACTTACACCGGGTACTAGCTTCACCTACAAGTATATTCAGGTGGCAAGTGACGGTACTGTTAAGTGGGAGAGTGACCCAAACCTCTCGTACACTGTTCCCGCCCAGTGCGGCACAAATGCTGTCACGATTAGTGATAACTGGAGGTGATAGTTAGGGAAAATAAGTTGGAACTAGAAGTATCTATTTCGGTATCCCAGCTATCCTTTATACTAGCGAACCTTTGCATACCTCTGTTGCAGATTGTGTTTTGTTCGTTCTGTCACCAGAGAATAGCAAGATGACAATGAAGATTGATTTTAGCATTAGCTTCACGACTATGACTATCAATTGAATGAATCCTATTACTGAGACGTGGATTTCTATGATGAAACATCAACTGGTATCTTCGCTTTCCTGGCCGATTCGTAAAGCCTTTGGCTCAAATCTCAATGAAAAATTGAGCTATTGGGACTCTAGATGTTGGCGCACTTCACAATTATGTCACAAGAAATACCCATTTCAGGCTCTTTTCCATAGGTATTTCTATTTAATCCAATATAGTAATGCAGTTCCAATAGACGCAGTCTATATTTGATGGCGCGCAATAAACAATCCACTGAATGACGCCAAAAGCGAACAACCAAGAGAAAGAACTATAGTAAAGTCAGTGGGAGATACCCAATAGAACAGAATACATCAACTCACGATATGTGTGCTTCAGTCCAGAGACATAACAAGCCACCACAATCTCCCGCACATGGCCACTTAGGTGCGCGATATAATTCGTATCAGCCATCGCACGTTGAATAACCTTGCAGAATTAGCACCACGACCAAAGATCCTCAAGAATACAGTATTTACCTTCTCAGAGCCAGGTCCATGAAGATTCAGCTTGAGTTGCCGCTGGAACTCCATCCCCAGAACGGAATTGGACGTAGTCACACCAGCCGTCATGGCGAATCCCACAATCAGCATGTATCCCGCCGTCGCCATGGCGACTTCCTCACCCGGTAGCGTGGAAGACATGGCAATGAATGATGACGCTGCTGCAATTCCCGTGCCAAGTCCGCCCGGGAGAATAAACAGCGATTCCCAGAAGCCGCTGTGTCCATCCCAGCGGAAGTAGAGGAGGAGGTAGGACATGCCGGCAACCAGGCCGGCGACAACGAGAAGGATTTTGAACTGTCCTGTACGCTGGATGAATATTCCTGCTAGCAGTCCACCGAGAGTATTTCCTATCACTGCTGGAATGAGATGCATCCCCGCTGCTGTTGTTGATGCGCGCTGTGTTACCTGGAAATACAATGGGACAGAGAACATCATGCCCAGCTGCGCGGTGATCTGCAGTGCACCGATTATGTATGCTGTCGACACATTTGTTCGCCGGAGAATGCGGAGGTTAAAGATTGGTTCCCGGGCTACGTAGGCTTCGACGAGCACGAAGACGATTAGGAGGGATCCTCCGCCGCTTGCTAGGAGGAATGTCCACCACGACCTCCATGGGAAGGACTTTCCGCCTTGGTCAAGGAGTGTGATCATCGCGACAATAGATGAGCCTAGCAGTGCTGTTCCGAGAAAATCAACCTTGGCGAGTCTGTTTCCCTTAGGCGTGGAGTCTGTCTTCTCTCCGACGTTCAGTTTCACAATCACGAGAGCTGCGGCCAGAGCGAGGAACGGGGCTTGTAGGAGAAACAACCTGGAAGGTGGTTAGAAGATAGATGCAACTGCTAGATCGTGGAAACTTACCATCTCCATCCGATAGTATCGCTCAGCCAACCACCCAGCGGACCTCCAAGACTACGTCCAAGTGTCATGGCGATATTCACATATGCTCTCCAAGTAGCAACCTCGCGCTTAGGCACAATATCTGTAATGATAATGGAGCTGATGGTCATGATTCCCGCACCGCCCATTCCACTGGTGGCGCGACCAAAAATCACCACCCACATCTGGGATCCGATGCCACTATACATAGTCAGAATTGTATCTCAGCTGTTGGATCATGTATCCGCCTACCTCGTTATACAACCCACTGCGAATAACAGATATGAGAGCAGCAGCATTGGCTTGCGACCGTAAATATCACTCAATTTTCCATACTGGACGACGATTAGACCTTGGGATCTTCTCGGCCCGGGTTGTACTCACCATTGGTTGTGCAGCACAGACACCTAATGTATATCCCGTTGAGAGCCAACTAGCATCGCGTAAACGATTGAATTCGGAGGAGATGCGGCCTGCTGCCGCCATCACTAGTGTCGCATCGGCATTGGAAATGAACTCGCCTATATTCGATTCGATTAGATGTCCGTTCGCTTTCAAGTTTTCCTGTAAATTCTCCTACCAAGCAGAAGCACCGCGATAATTGTCCCAACGCCCGTCAATGTCTTGAGCTTAGTGTCTGTGTCAGTTTGCGGGATTAATGGACTCTCTTCATCTGCGACATGGCCATTCGTATCGATGCCCTGGGTTTCGATGATACCCTGAGGTACCGATTCCACCGTGTCACTTTCTATATGAGCCATGCTGTTGAATGTAACAAGCCAAAGAGAAAAAAAAGGCCAGAGGGGGATTATGTGGCGGCAAGTCTGGACTTTCACTGCCGATAAATATTCCAAGCCATTGAAGCTAAGTTGTCATCGGAGTTATAAAGCACGCAATATATCCACTTTTATACTTCATATACTTCATATATTTTCTACATTATGTACAACTTATAAATGAGAATACTTGTGACGAGAATATTCTATATAAGCAAATATAACCATCTTGGTATCCCAAATAGGTTTAGCCTACTCTATATATACCTGTTCGACCCCAAGCAGTATACAATAATTGCTCTATATTTCGGGGATACGACGAAGCTACGTGACGGCTTTCCACTGGTGCGGCAATGATATTGATCTGGCGAGATGAGACGCCGTGCTTTTGGATGCGTACAATTGCCATAAGTGTATTCATACGTAGGCCCGTCGATCAATGGTCCACCGCAATAATCATAGTCAGGGCAACTGTGGAAAACTTCTGCATACTAGTCGCGCTATCTAACAGCGATGGGCCGTATCTGGCCATGCGCAAGAGGTCATGCGCAAGAAGCTGTCCTTGGGCAAGCGAGTAGGATGCTTGCTTTTCAACCAGGTGATATAGATGTCATCGAAGCTAGCAACATAAACAACTCCAAGCCGTCTTGAGAAATCATGAAGCGATCACTATATGCGATAGAGAATATTGTTAGCATTTCTACCGCAAAAGTAGATAAACGGGACTCCTACCGGCGGGGGATGAGGAGATGACATTGTCGCTCATCAGCCATGCAATGACACCCACTGACTCTCCCATCGACACAGCTGGTTCATGAAGGATGCGCCTTGGCATTGGAATCGACACCAGCAACAAATATTTGCCTATTATGACAAAACTTTGGCAATATACATATCCCGAAAACATAAAAGACCTTCAATGCCCAATGTATTGTACAACATGGCCTTGGATTCGGGGGGATTCATATCATCCAGATATAAATTCCAAGCACGGCACCAAAAAGACTGAGGGTGATCGGTACATGAACACGAATAGCGCCGCTGACAAGGTACGAATTGTAGCAAGCGAACTTGTATCCATCGCTCGGCAAGCGACCCATGCCCTCGAGCTCACGGAAGGTCGTGCAGTTGAAAGTAGTAGAGTTCGCGGATGGATTAATTCTGAAATAACTCAAGACCGAAGGAGGAAAATCTTTATTCAGGCCCATTTGCTGGTTGACGAAAGGATCGCTATTTACCTAGGTAAGCTCGTGTGACCACTACGAGGGAGAGACACATACAAAAAGGTATTTCCCACAGTGGCGCCCGAAATATCAATTAACGAGACATTCTTTGGCCAATACCAAGTCTGAATGCGTTTGCCTTGATCGTCGGCACCGTACATCGAGGTCAAATTGAGATCGGGGCCACCGGTGATGACAAGTCCAAAGCCACCGGTCCAATTCACGGCCTTGGGAGGAAGAGTGATAGATTTCAGAGGATTGTTCTCTCGTTGCAGGACTTGGAGTTGGCGCAGATTATCGAACGGGATTTCTAGATGGGTGATATGAATAGGACCTGAAAGCTTCATAGAATCAACCTCGAGTGTCTTCAGCTTTGCGCTACGCTTTAGATCCGTAATACTCTCGAGGTTGAGTTGTTTGATGGACATTTCCTTTGTCGAAGATCCTCCTAGCGTGATAGGTGAGTTACCCGAGATTTGGATGTAGTTGACAGATGTGAATCCAATAGCAATGTTGCTGACGTTCGGGAATGGACCACTAATGTAAAGCTCATCCAGATTGAGCTCATTATCAGACAAACTATCCAGCGAGTTGATCTCCATCGGGCCAATAGCTAGGGTTGTCACATTGCGTAACTCTGTGTGGTGGAGCGTATGGAGATTTGGGGAGCCAAGCGTGATGCTATCCGCGGAATGCAGACTCGTAAGATCCAGGTAGACGAGATTGTAGGCATATATCCCTATATTCACGTAGTTATTCACGGATGTGAGACTAGAAAGTGTGAGGTTCACTATGTGAGTGTCGTAATTTCCAAATTCCACTGCGTCGGCTTTCTTTAAAGATGAACTGGAGAGAGTATAAGAGGGCTGGGTGAGATAGTCGCGCTGGGTATAAGGATATTCTCCGAGGGTGCCTTCGATCACTTCGACACCGTCGAGATTAATGTGAACTGTGTCGTTGCCGGAAAATGGACCGATGCCAACGTGGCCCGTGACCACTCGACAGTTCTGACGAAGGGTATCTGCATCAGCCACGGAGGTGATCCAGGTTGAGCCGCAGTTGGCAGCAAAGGCATCTAGCAATGTAAGTCCAGGCCCGGTGTACTGGGTAAGAGTTTGTAGCAACATTTTACTCACTCGAGCAGCATAGCACGACTAGCACCGCGATCACCGCGCGCGAAAAACCGAGCATATTGGACATATTGGACCCTGAAATTGTAGATCGGAATTCAAAGCTGGGCGCATCGCCATATGTAGAAATGCTCAAGCCCCTGAAAAATCAAATTACGCGCCACTCCCGGACTGCCTTAGCTTATAGATCCAGCCAATCCAATACTAGTGCATACATACTAGTAGAGACTCATGTAACATTGGGGCCCTGTGGGGAGATATGATTGGGGTAGGGCTAGGGGTAGCAGCGTCCGAGCTCTTGGAAGTTTGCTTTTGACCCATGCTGCATAAGATGATATACAGAGAAAAGTGTTTACGGTTAAAAGAGGTGAAGAGCCTGGGAATCTGGGGAACCTCGGACCCTCCGAATCTCGGAAGAAGGCCGCGCTTATGTAATCAGAATGTCCTGGGCACTTGGGCAACACACCGTTGTTTTCATACGGTAATAAATACCGTTTTAGAGTGTCAAGTCCTGTCACGGTGTTGTAAATACGTACATAGTACTCCGTACATCTTTTCTTGTAGAATGGCATTTCATTGGGAAAGTATTTATCTATTACTCTTTTATATAGGCCATAGAAAGGAACATTTGAAATCGAAAGAATTTCCTAAAAGACATCTAAAAAGACATCTTGATATAACCTCTCAGACATTATCCTCAGCAAAACACCAGATAGATCAGATTATTATACAGATATAAAGTACCAAATCATGCCCTTAATTTTTGGATCTCCGGGGTGTTCATCTAGACACCTCCATGTCTAAAGAGGGAACATTCAAGGGTAGCTAGTCATGAATCGAAGGAATGTATCGAATTCTGCATCATCCTTAGAGGCGAAGCAAGAAACTTGAGATATCCAAAGTTCAAGCTTATCACCAATCATAGTCACCAGCCCTTGTCGAAGTCGAGCATCTCTCCAACCGTCTGAACGTATAGTGTCTCGATATTCGCAGTTTTCTGTTCGATCAGGGTATCAAACTGGGCCTCATCGGGGGGGGAGTTAGTTTGATGGGGTACAATAAAAGCTTGATCTCTCCTATCAGCATGTCGATTCAAGGGAAGTTCTAGTCTCAAACTGTGAAATGGAGCTTGGACTGAATGGCGGAGATCCCGGCAGATGTGGATTGCCGATTTGTATCGGCTAAATATTTATGAAGTGCTCATTGTGAGGGTAAAGCACGCAATTATATATTTTCTACACATACAGAGAGTATACATGTGTCATAACTATAAACACAACAGTGATAAACTCTCCGATGTTGTACAATATATATATACTATATACTATATACTATATACAATATACAATATACAATATATGAATATATAATATATACCCATGTTTGGAGAATAAATATGTATATAACTTCACATTTAATATCTCCGATCGCCATTGCGACCGTTTATGGCATCATCGCATCCACATTTGCCAAGGGCTTTTATATACTCCAATACTCGTAAACAGCTTCATCTACGGAGTACCGACTATGAAATTAATCACTGCTCTTGTCGGCCTCATCGCGGCCGATGGCATCGTCGCCCTCGATTTCCAATCCGACCTTCAATCAACCCTCCAATCTGTACTCAAACACGAAGCACAATCGCCCAAACCAAATATCCTCTTTGTCATCACCGACGACCAAGACCTCCAACTCGATTCCATATCCTACACTCCCCTGATCTCAAAACACATCCGCGACGAGGGCACCTTTTTCCGCAATCATTTTGTCACCACAGCCCTATGTTGCCCATCGCGCGTCAGCCTATGGACCGGTCGCCAGGCACATAACACCAATGTAACTGATGTCAGTCCGCCCTACGGTGGATATCCCAAATTTGTCGAGCGCGGCTTCAATGATGATTTTCTCCCATTGTGGCTACAAGATGCGGGCTATGATACATATTACACCGGCAAAATGTTCAACGCCCATACCGTGGAGAATTACCACAGCCCTCACATCAATGGATTCAACGGATCGGATTTCCTTCTCGATCCGTATACTTATTCTTACCTCAATTCGACGTACCAGCGAAACCATGAACCACCGGTCAGCCATGAGGGTGAACATACCATCGATGTGATCACCGGAAAAGCACTGGGTTTCCTCGACGATGCATTGGCTGGCGAGAGACCGTTCTTCCTGGCCGTGTCGCCCGTCGCACCGCACTCGAATATCGATCTGGGCGATGCGACGGCAGGCAAGATCTACATGTCTGCGCCCATCCCTCTTGAACGACACGAACATTTGTTCCAGGATGTCACGGTACCTCGCACAGCGAACTTCAATCCAGACCAGGTAAGCGCGGCCTTGATTACAATTAACGTGTTTTGTGACCCGTTCTGACTGATCTTATTTGCCCGCGCAGCCAAGTGGAGTTAGTTGGATTCACGATCTGCCCCTGCAGAACCAGTCGGTGATTGACTATAACGATCACTTTTATCGGTCACGTCTGCGCGCCCTACAGGGTGTTGATGAATTGGTAGATGGACTTGTCACCCGGCTGGAGGAGAGTGGTCAGTTGGATAATACTTATATCATCTATACCTCGGATAATGGATTCCATATTGGTCAGCACAGACTCCCGCCCGGGAAGACTTGTGGGTTTGAGGAGGATATTCGCGTTCCCTTGTTCATTCGTGGACCTGGGATTGCCAAGGGATATGTGCAGGATGCTGTAACTACTCATGTGGACTTGGCGCCGACCTTTTTCCATCTTGCTGGGATTCCGGCCAGGGACGATTTTGATGGCACTGCGATTCCTGTGATGCCCGAGTTCCATGGTGAGCGGCATGAACACGTTACAGTGGAATACTGGGGTTCTGCTGTTATGGAAGGTGTTTATAGTGGTATTGGTAAGTCGCAGGGCAATATGTCCATCGTCATTATGGGATGATACTAATTTCAACGCAGGCCCCGGAGGCTCAACCTTTATCCCAAACAACACCTACAAATCCGTCCGCTTGCTCGGAGAAGGCTACAATCTGTACTACTCGGTCTGGTGCAACAACGAACATGAGCTGTACGATCTCTCGGTGAGTAAATAGTACCTTGCTTGTTTATCGCAACGACTAACCTTTCTCTAGACCGACCCATATCAGCTGAATAACCTGTACCCAACAAGCTCCCACTCTAATACCAATGAGCCTCAAATTCTCGGTCGCAGCTTGACTCAAGCTATCAATCGACTCGATGCTATTTTGATGGTCCTCAAATCTTGCCAGGGTGTGACTTGCATCCGGCCTTGGGATGTCCTCCAACCGGTAGACCCAGTTAGTACTCTCCAAGATGCTCTGGATGAGGAGTATGATGGTTTCTATGGTGCACAGCCTCAGGTCTCATTTGACTGGTGTGATGCGGGATATATCATTGCAGCCGAAGGTCCGCAGGTGCCATTGACTAGTCGACACGGTGTGTCTTGGGATGTGTGGGTGTAATGAGATACGTTTAGTTTTAGATCAAAATTATATTCAAGTCTATTCAGTACGTAAGGTGGAATTTTTCCGTAGATGTAACTAGATAACTAGAACATATTAGACATATGAGCCGAATCAGCATCTGATAGACGGATAAATAGTCCAAAGTTGATCAAATAGAAAGAATAATCTCCCAAGCCAATAACACTCATCCAACTCGGCAAATACTGTCGTGAGATCGGCCGTGATTGCGCCATATCTCTATGTGTCGCGACATCAAAAAAGCTCGCATTGAAATTCTAGATCTCTACATTTCTAGTAGATAGAGCTACGCAATCCTATGTTTTTCTTTTTTTTTTCTTCTATAAGAGTAGTCGATCGGCTATCTTTCTATAAATCACCCTGGGCATCCTCTCATACTTCGCCTTTTTGTTTATTATTTGTTTCAATCTCTCAACTGCAAGATGTCAGACCAAGGCATCTTTGATGAGAAATATAAAGTAGGCGAACAGGCCATCGATTCACCAAGTGAATTGAACCATGGTATCGTCAAAGACTGGGATACGGAAGAATCGGCCGTTCGACGGAAGTACATATATCTCTTACCACGCACTATCATCATGTCACTAACAAGCTTCTGTCAGAGTCGACTTTATTCTCCTTCCCATTCTTGCAGTCGCCTTCTTCGCCTTACAAATGGATCGTGGCAATATCAGCGCTGTCTTGACATCGAGTATCACTAAAGACCTCAATATCACAACAAATCAAATCAATATCGGATCGCAACTGCTCTCCGCTGGTATTGTTCTCTCTGAGATCCCATCCAATATCATTATGCAGCGAATTGGACCTCGTGTCTGGTTATCGGGCCAGTTATTCGCATGGGGGTTGGTTGCGACCTTCCAAGCCTTTGTTAAGTCGTATCCTGCGTACCTGGTGACGAGGATTTTGTTGGGACTCTGTGAGGGTGGTTTCATTCCTGGTAGGTAAATCTATATTTCATGCTTGGATACTCGACTGACTCTCCGAAGGCGCTTTATATTACCTCTCTACTTGGTATAAGAAGGACGAGACGAGTCTCCGCACCAGTCTGTTCTTCTATGGACAGATGTTTGCATCGGCTACATCGAGCTTGATATCTGCCGGTCTGCTTCAGCTGCATGACACCCATGGTATGGAAGGATGGAGATGGATCTTCCTGGGTAAGTGTAGATCCAAAATATATGCATTCTACCAGCCTGAGCTCTGCTAAAACACTCGTCAGTCGAGGGGTTGATAACCATTTTTATTGCAATTGTCTTCACTCTCCTCGTACCTGCATCGGTCGGAGACGGCCGTCCATTGCTTTCCTTCGGCCGCTGGAGCTACTTCACCGAGCGCGAGTCGCACATCATTCGCAACCGCGTTCTGCTAGATGACCCCCGAAAAGCCACAGGCCATATCCAGATTTCAGGCTCTGATATCTGGCAGACCGTCAAGCAGCCGCGCATCCTGCAACACGTTTTCGTGACTTTGGTGTCCATGTCCGGTTTCTCGGGATTGACCCAATACACGCCCAGCATGATCAAAGGGCTGGGCTTCGGTGCTGTCAAGGCGAATGCCCTGGCTTCGGTTC